GAATTATCGATGTCGAAGTATGATCTGTTGGAATTGATTTCAGCGAATAAACGACATAGTTTTTCAAAAAAACTAGTAACTAGCCATTTTTGAGAGTTAAACTGTATATGGCATGAAATATTTATCGCATTTTACTTGTATTAACAGGTCATTGTCAAAGCGTAGTTTACGCAAGGTTACCATGTTCTACGCATTCACAACATGTTCACAATGGTCGATCCACGCTGTATCATATAAAAAACGATTACCAAGATTCGTTACGCAAGACCAAGTTTTAAATTAGTTGCATTTTGAAGGGGTGGGCACTTTGCCGAATGTGACCACAAATATAAAAATTGCGCAAAAGTGGGGGGTGGGCGCTTGCCTGGGCGTGGGCGCTAACGCGGTCGAGTACGGTACATATATTTGCTCACCCTAATTTTGCTATATTACAAACAATGTTTAATTATCGACAAGCCCCCCCCCCCTCCCCCTGACTGTTTTACCAGGAAATTTACCTACCTTCAGTGACTTTTTTCCTACATTCTGGTAAAAAGCAACAGAATCCCAAAGATTGTTTTCCGAGCTTACACTTTTAATACATGTTTGTTTTCTTTCCATTGTAATTTTAAATGGTTGAGTTCTCGTAAAATCTATATCAAAAGTTGCACCACACACACTTTTTTTTATCAATTGAGAAATAAAAACTAGATGCTATAAAAGCTGAATTCCCTCTGTTGCATTGTACAATTTAAACCGCAGCTTCTAATACAAATTTTACTGTATACATAGACTATCATTGGTATTCCCAATATTCATTGACTTCCCACCTAATTTAGATTTTTAAATTATAAAGCCACCTAAACATATTAAATTCTCATTTACACATCCCCTCCACAGAATACCAAAATCAATGGCAAGAAGGGGCAGGCGATGTGTAAATGATTTTAGGTGAAAAAACTTAGCGTAACTCAGTTCAATATTACATAGGATGGGGTCAGCATCAGTGTAAACTCAAATGTACATGCGTATCTTTTTATATGCTAGAGCTGAACCCAGTGTGCAAAGTACAAGGTACGCCATTTGTGTACAACCCCACTCAGTCATGTATTAACTGCCACCTGCCTCACTGTCTGCAAATATTGTAATTAATTATTGTTCATAGGTTATAAACTATATACATTGACTGTCAATAGAATATAAAACATACCATAAATTTAACCTTGACCTTGTTATGCAGAATATACATGTACTAATACTAATAGTACTAATAGGTTTCTTGATTAATAAATATTGATTTTACAAAAAGATATCAAAAGCAGGCTTTGTTTTATTGCTACAAACTAGATAATTAATTATAGTAATTGATTATTAAATTTGAAACATAAATTGACAACACAAATACAACTACTATTGAATCTGCATCAAGGATAAGTACCAATTTGCGGGAATAAAAAAATACTATTGGCATAACTACTTATGGAAATATTAATAAATGCCGCCCAATGTGATGTCATACATAGCTTTGACACCACTGATACATTGAATACAAGTCGGCAAGTTTGCCTTAAGGTAGAAGCCTGTTCATGAATTCAAAATTTATTTATTTTCCAATAAATTGTACTTATTGGCAGTATAAGGATATCAACATAAAAAAATGGGGGTCACCAGCTTAATTTTTACGAGAAAATGATGGTTGTATTTTAGTAGATAGTGGCCATTTTGGCAGTATTACAGTGCTTTTAACATAGGTTTGTATGGCACAGATATGCCACGTCTGAAATTGTAGGATATTGACATTTGCTGAAAAAATCTTATATTGTGAATGTCAAAAAAACTCAATTTTTCTTAACCATTGTATATAGCGATTTTAAAAAATATTAGGACAATTTTACAAAATCTGTCTCAAGCTCTGATAATGCCATTTTCGGTGTCTATCATGTTATAATATTACTACAAAAATATTACAGTACATATTTGTTCATGTTAACGATCCAACCACATCAGTGCATACGCAAACTTACCAGGACCAGTCCATATTGATACATCAATCTCTGATCCAAAGAACAATTTTCCTTTGGATTTATCAATCGCTTTATCAACATCCTCTGCTCGCTTGAAAAATATTAATCCAAATCGGTCAGCTGCAGCTCCTTGTACACGAACAGCAAGGATAGTACCGTGTTTTTTAAATTCATGAAATAAACCATCTTTGAGGCTGGTATCTGTGAGGGAAAAATTGGACTTTATTATTACATTTATATTATCCATACTACATTTATATTAAAAGCACATGTCTAATAGAATTACATTTATTGTACCATTCAAACATGACTTATGACCATGGACAAACTTCCATTATTTACCTAAGCACATATTCTATTAATAGAACAAATACAGTAGCTTTTTATTTAATGTATACGTACAAACACAAATTACTGGTAGCTTTCAAAAATTTATAATTAATAAGGGAATGCTATACAGTCAAACCTGCATACAATGACTACCC